CATTAGCCTTACGCCAATCCAGTGGTACTATGCCAGTCATTAAAGAATCCCTAAAAAATGAGAAACAATGGCTTTGAAATGACAGAGCTCAATTCTTTAAGGACCCGTGGGTGTATGCCGTCTGGTCCAGGTGCTTTATTCACTTTTATTCTGTTTAAATATGTCTGGATCATATCAATTGTGAGCCAATGTGGATAATCTGGGGTTGTCTCAATACCATGCCCATTATGAACAAGAGCTCCCCCACGCTCCTTTGTATACACAGAACTGAAGAAGTTATTTAATAAATTTGTCTTCACTTTGTCCCCAGTCACCCACTCTAGATTATTTTCTAAAGGGCCTACATGCTCTGAATTAACTGTGGGGATAGGGTTCTGTATATGGAAGTTAATTAAGTCAATATATTAGTTTTTTAAATTTTTTCTACTGGTTGGAATAGATGGGTCTTTTTTCAACCTAACTATTGTAACTATGAGATAGAAAGGTAAAAATGATGTAAACAAATTGCGACTTTATCACTGTTTACATACTTTCTTCACTCTGAAAACATACTCAAAGTAGAATTGCAGTCATCATTAATACATAATAATTTAGAAATGGATAGGCAATGTACAAACTTAAGGATGTACAAAACACAAACTGACAGATCCTCTTTAGAGACCAGAGATGTCTCGCAATGTTCTGCCATCTCTCGCCTTAAAGGGTTGTCATTCCTGTGGTAATTTGTGACTCACCTCCTGCACAGACGCTGGACGGCTCAGCAGCTAAGATCTCAATGCAAGACTTCTTTAGGATCTGAAAGAAGATGCAGTTCTCAGTTGGCATGCAGCATCAAGTAGAGAGAATGGTGTGCCAGGCAGCTACTGTTATTACAAGGCAAATGTCCTAATCTTTCTCTGTCTGCTCAAGAAACTATCTTAACCCCTAAATGGCAAGCTGATCTAACCAGTGGCAAATCAAAGTATATAACCCTCAAATTTATTTTCAGTATGTCTGCCATCATGCCTCAATGTACACCGTTTTCTTAAAGTCAACTTCAGAAACAAAAAAAACTCTTGTAGTGCTCCCCCCCACACTGCAAGGGTTCAATGCCCCTTATGTATAGAAGTTCTGGAATGAGGAGAAACATTTACATTTATACATCGTTCCCCCACAGCCTCCTCTCTAAGCTGTTCATGACTGTGGTTGTAGACTCGCCCCCTCCATGTACAATGCAGAGTTAATAACACTGCATTGCATGTGATGACGCTGAGGTATAGCCCACAGACCAGAGGGCTGTGGCAGAACTGGCCAGGTAGAACTGCTTCTGTACCCCTTAGACATAATGAGCATTTAACCCAGCAGGGTGAGGGGTCTCACTGCAATGGTAGTTTTTTTTTTTTTTTCCAAATTCTTTGAGCTGGGATTTTAAGCTAATGTTTGTGAATCTGCTGCAAAGATTCATACCTGAATTTTTTTTCAGTAACAGCATTTCCTGTTACAGGCAAATTGCCTCTTGGCCATTGAGCTGCCTTTCAGGCCTATTAGATATCAGATAAGAAACCCACACGGCAGGCTGATAACACTGCTGGTGATTGCAAAACAGTGATTAGGCGCAGTTCGCTTACAACCCGAAGTGCTGTCCCTGGCAGGATCTCCAGGTAAGAAAACTTGCAACAGATTCATAAAAAATTTATACAGTGAAGCATGATGCCAAGCATACTGAAAAATCGATTTTGGTTTATATACACGTTAAGTATATTTTGGATCCCAAGCCGTTTTTAATTAGTAGCTAAGTGCTATTCTGGTACTTTTCTGTACTTGCAAAGAGAATTGTCCCGAAGGAAGCTAATAAAGTCCAGTTATGGGCTGCCAACACAACTCTTTTACAGAGTGGTGTCAGCCTTCCTATTTTGCTAAATTACTCAACCACTCCCACTCTAAGATCTCTATAACATAAAGGCTAGTCATTTTGTAGTCTATAATAACAACTTTGCAGCAACACAGGAATGCTGGATAGGACACAGGACAGCTCAAGATTAATAGATTCTTTCAGTGACGTAGCGCGGGTTGTCAGCCCCCAGGGTAAGGCAAGTGTTGCACCCCCTAACCCATGGACCATATATATATATATATATATATATATATATATATATATATAATGTGATGACATGAAAAAGGTGCCTTAAAGCGGAGCTCCACCCAAAACGGGAAATTCAACTTTAATGCTTTGTCCCCCGCTCCCCATTAAGGATTGGCACGGGTACCCGATATTTGACAGGTACCTGCTCCCACTTCCGCAGCGACCGCCTAGGCCAGTGGTCGGCAAGCCGCGGCTCGCGACCCACATGCGGCTCTTTACACGCTTTAATGCGGCTCTTGTGTGCCGGGCGCCCGCTCCCCTCCCTCCTCTCGGGCAGCAGGGACTCTTCAGCGTGATTCAAAAAAAAAAAAACAGCCAGGGCAGCGCGCTCAAATGCAATGATTGGCCAGTCTCGCTGCCACTCACATCCTGATAGCCAGTGATTGGCTGTCAGGATGTGTGTAGGCGGGGCAGCGTGACAAACGTGATAGGAGCTAGGCTCTTCTCACAGTCCGCCCTGAAGACCGGAACGGCGCGGGAACACGGCGAGAGGAACGCGCGGAGCAAAGGGAAGTGAATTGACACAGGGGGGACTTGGCTTACTACTTGCTACTTACTTACTACTACTATATGAGGGATGAATTAATATGGGGGATGAATTACTATAGGGGGGATGAATTACTATAGGGGGATAAATTACTATAGGGGGATAAATTACTATATGGGGGATAAATTACTATATGGGGGATGAATTACTATGGGGGATGAATTACTATATGGGGGATGAATTACTATATGGGGGATGAATTACTATATGGGGGATGAATTACTATAGGGGGGATGAATTACTATAGGGGGGAATAACTATAGGGGGGATGAATTACTATATAGGGGGGATGAATTACTATATGGGGGATGAATTACTATATGGGGGATGAATTACTATATGGGGGATGAATTACTATATGGGGGATGAATTACTATGGGGGGGATGAATTACTATGGGGGGGATGAATTACTATATGGGGGATGAATTACTATATGGGGGATGAATTACTATGGGGGATGAATTTACTATGGGGGATGAATTACTATATGGGGGATGAATTACTATATGGGGGATGAATTACTATGGGGGATGAATTACTATAAAAACTTATTGAAACTAAAAACAGTGTACCATCCTATGTATTTTCAGTTTTAAAAATGTGGCTCTCAAAATAAATTTCAATCGTGGTTTTGGCGAGATTTGGCTCAGTTGAAAAAAAAGGTTGCCCACCACTGGCCTAGGCGATTGGAAGCGGAAGTTGTTCTCCCTCCCTCCTCGTAGTCTTCTGGGACACGTGACAGGTCCCAGAAGACTATGGGGCCATTCACAAAGCGCAGCGCTTCTCACGCATGCGCTGTGAAGCCGCAAACTGTCACAGCCGGGTGCCCTCACTGAAGATGCTGGGGAGAGAAGACAGCTGGTGAAATCAGCAGTGGCGGGGACACCACTGGACTGAGAGACAGGTAATTGGCTGTATTTTAAAAGTCAGCAGCTTTTTGTAGCTGCTAATTGTTATTTTTATTTTTTTTCAGCTGGAACTCCGCTTTAAGTATTTATTGAGTAATTGCTTATGATCAATAGCATTTTTACTAGGGATGCACCAATATCCTTTAATCAGTGAGTACGAGTACTGATACTTTTGGTCAAGTACTCACTGACACCGAGTACCGATACTTTGCAGTGCAATTTGCGTCAATACAAAATGTATGGGTGCAAACTGCACCATAAAGAATAGCCTGCAATTTGAAAAGGAATGTGATTCCTGTCCAAATCTAATGTGGTTTCCCTACTGCTCCTGTGTGAACCTGAGTTTCTGGTATCAAAGCATTTTCATGAGTACAAGTACTTGTGAAAATACTCAGTATTGGTGCATCCCTAATTTTTCCAAATTGCGTTAACTTGCATAAAATATACTCAAACACTTGAACCCCCCTTTTCATGTCGTCATTAGATACTGGCCAAAATTGCATTAACTTGTCCCCTGGATCTCTATGATTACTTTAAAATCTGATCAGACAAATCTGCATTTTGTAACCCTTGCAAATTTTTAAATTACCTTTTGAAATGTAACAAGTTAGCCCCCAAGGGCCAAGGTGACTTGTATAAAATTAACAACACCTGACTCCCTTCATCCCCCATTGTGCCCCCAACCTCATACTGCCCCCTCCTATGCATCCCCAGTCCCTCCGTGTCTTTATTATGCACCCCAACTTCACATAACCCTCTTTTCGTACCAAGCTCACTATTGGAGGAGTTCCAGTGCATAATATACCAACTGACAGTGGTCCTGGGGTAGCGGGAGGACAAGAGAGGAAGAAGAGAGATCAGAGCCATCCTCAATTGCTCTGAGCAGTGCACTGCCAAACACTGAGTGAGAGCTCACCACTAGCTCTCCTTCACTATGGCCTCTCCTACCTAGAACCACCCAGCCTGGCACGCCCCACACAGCCTAAGAGGTAGAGAGAAAAGGAGGGAGCGTGTTTCTGCTAGGACCAGCATGGGAGCATGCACCAAATGACCTCCCACCTCTTCTCACCCCAAACCTTACTACTTTTGATTTTGCACCCCAAGAATTCTGCACTGTGGGTAACCACCCCACCCACACTGTGCCTCTGGGTTCTGAGATGCGCTTTATCAAACAGAAATAACAATCATTTCAATGTTATATCTAACAGACTAAAAGGAAACACAATATTAGAGTTGATTATTTAGGTTTACATACACCTTGGGAGGAACTACCACCAAGCTTCCTTTTTACTAGTTGCATAGGCTGCTGTGGAGGTAGTTTGTACCTTCCAGTATCTACCATTTCTACAAACAAACACAATATACACCATATGAATCTTTACTCACTGAATCAATAACTCCTTGCAAAGCTTGAAATCCACCCACCACTGGGAACACGTGATCTATGCTGTCTGCAATTGTTGCAAGCTGAAAAAAAAACAGGAGTGCACGTCAGCATATACCGCCAAATACATAGTATTAGAGAAACCTATGTGTTTTTGTAATCAAGGCACAAAACCTTTTTTCATTATTTTGGTTACTTCAAATGGTCTAAACATAGCATCTGACTGGCTGCTATGAATTACTCAACACATCACTGTGCTTTGTGCGGACTTATTAAATAATCCAATTTAAACATATCTCTTACATATTTTGTTATGGTTGTTTGTGTGAATTAGTACTACAGTCTAGTAATATTTTTCCAGATATGCATGTGAATGTGTTCAGAGTCATGTAAATAATCTCACAAAGGTGTATAATTATATTAAAAACCACATTACTATGGATAATTTATATAAATTGTATACATGGGGCAGCCATATTTACTCACTGGTTCTTTCAGAGGTGGCTATGGGTTACTTGAGCTGTGGCTGATTGAACTCCCATTTGGTAGTACCTGCATAGGTCCAGGGCCAATGCTACTTGGCAGAGTCAGCTGCAAGAAACCAATAACCTTTTTAGTTGCCTTTAAGGGGGGGGATGGGGACATTCTTCCCACTGACCAGTGTAAGAGGTAATTTCCCAGTGATCCCTAATAAATTGGTTTTAACAGAGGTTCCCTGATATATTAAAATTATTTCAAGATCTCCTCTCAGGGGAAAAAAAGTTTGAGAAAGGCTGGTCTAAAGAAACACCCAGTTTGAAGTTGAAATAAGAACATTTACCAAAAATTATTATTGCTATGGAAAATCCTTCATACAATTTCCTTTGCCAGTTCAAAGCAAATTAAATGGGTCATTTCATTTCTCCTACTAGAGACCAGTGTAAGGGGTATTTTTCCCACTGATCTCTGATAAATTGGTTTTAGTAGAGGTTCCCTGAAACATTCAAAAGCTCCTCATAGATCCTTCATAAAATTACCATTTCCTTTGCCAATTCAAAGCAAAGTAAGGGGGTCACTTCATTTCTCATCTCCCAAGTGGTATATACTTCCTCTTTTCATATCTGTACCACTCCACCACGGGGAACAGGGAAAACAGCCAAACTGACTTGTTGGAGTTTAAAAAGGGCTATAAACTCTTCCTTACCCCCATATGATAGCACTGGATTATTCAGGTGCCATCAGTGTTTCTTGTGTGTACTACAGAACAGCAAACAGCTCACAATTGTGCAGAATGGAAGCTCATGGCAGCCTTGCTTTCCAAGATGATGGGAGCAAAAAAGATCCTGAGACACTGCCTTTAAAAATATTACCAAGGATACTAAGATAAAAAGATGGGACCTGGTGGCAGGCAAGCTAAGGATGCCCAGGCAACAGCAGAAGAAGCTATAAGGCAGAAAAAATGTAAAATCAGCCTTTGGGCCTTTTAGAAAAGCCTTTTGGAAAATCCAAACCACCAAAATAACACTGACATTTAAATTCAGTTTAGCCATCCAAATCCATTAAATTCAGCCTACATTTACCATAATTCAGTATTTGGGTTGAATTCTATTAAGGTTACATAATTATTTAAGTTTTGGCATGATAAGCTTTACTAAATCAAATTTTGCTTTTCAGTACATATAGTTTGTCCGTAGTAATATTATGCCTTCGGCTCCCCTGTCTTTTATATCTGTTTTTGACAGTCCAGATCCTGTCTCTGTCCATGCAAATCTGCCTCAGAGCCCTGGGCTGCCTCTGTCCCTCTGCTTCATATCATGGATTGTGACTTCGGGAGGCATTTCACTTAACATAGAGTGAAAGCACATCAGAAAGGACAGAAATGAAGGAGCAGATAGGGAGACTCCTGAAGCGCACACAATAATAAGGAGCGGGTGGACAAAACAAGACTTTGAAGAAGGAAAATAAGAAACACTAACACCCTGTCATTTCTAGGCTTTCCATACATTGCTGTGCCATTTATTTCATGGGAGTGATTTGCTGGAATTGCCAACAAGACACCCAAACATTTTAACAAGTGTTCTTTCTTACAAGACTTCCACATTCTTGCCTGTTTGCTGCTCCATATTTTTTTGGAAAAATTGACTGTTAATGCTGCATGTAAACATAGGGAGAGAATTACTAAAACCGGGGAGTGCAAAATCTAGTGCAGTTGTGCATAGTAACCAATCAGCTTTCAGGTTTTATTGACAAAGCTTAATTGAACAAGCTGAAGTTAGAAGCTGATTGGCTACCATGTACAGCTGCACCAGATTTTGCACTCTTCAGTTTTAGTAAATAAATCCCATATACCACTTAAAATTACTTTTGTTACAGGTTCTCTTGATAGCTCATCTACTCCCCCATGCAGTGCGGAGGTGCAGAGCACTGCAACAAAGGAAGACGGTCAGGTACTTTCCTATAGCTGGTAGCATCAGTATTTCACAGGGTTCACCAGGGCAATGTAAAAATGTGGGAAACATATCTAGAGCAGTGGGAGGGTAAATCTATCAGATGAACCTGACTACAGCAAATTTGATCTGGCCTAAAAAGTTTTCGTTTTCAGATTGATTCCCATGCCTTTTGTGGAGCAGTAGAAATGGGGATTCTAGTGTAGTTTAGAGCTAGGGAATGTGGACTGTTCTATTACAAAGGTACTTGTCCTTTAAAATATAATACCAAACGCTCCTAACCTTTTCCCAACATTAACAGAAATAGAGTCAGGAAATAAAATTGTGTTCAATTACCTTATCAGAAAAACCACTGAAACCTTTATTATATTATATTATTATTATAATACAGTATTTATAAAGCGCCAACAGTTCACTCAGCGCTGTACATTACAAAGGGGGACAGAACATGCGACAGTACAGTAACAATACAATGCGATACACGAGGGGTTCGAGGGCCCTGCTCTTTTGAGCTTACCTTTATAATACATTACAACTATGTTTTCATTAGTAACATCTAAAACCTCCCTAAAAAGAGACATAAAACATGCATTGTACTGATATCTCTTATTCATATTTATATAGTGTTTAAAAATTCTACATTCACGCCAATGTACAGTTGCATGTAATTTATCTAACCCGTACCCTACACTAAAGCCCAGTACACATAATGAGAATATTGGAAAAATGAGCGTCCGTTTCTTTTGTTTGTTTTTTTTTTTTTTGCATGCTAGTCTCATGCTAGTCTCATACAAAAAATGACTAGGTTACTAAAGTTGAGAAAATTCTCACAAGAGATAATACAACTTCGGAAGTGTATTGTATTGTATTCTCTCATTTCCAAGCATGCACGGTCTTAGTCACTCGATTTTTTTCGTACAAATACTATACTAATTACACAAAAATATTTTGTTCTGTTATCTAATGAGAAACATTTTCGTGTTTGTCCCTTTTGGATATTTTCGCATGAACTGTCATCTCTCAAAAACGATAAGATTATTGGACGATCGCTCCAGAAGCATTTTATGGGACAATCTTCTCATTATGTGTATTAGGCATTGAGAACTACCCCTAACTTTTAACACTTCCTTACTGAGAACATACTGTATGTCTGTGCCTTCTGTCAGAAATTTCCTGTCTACATGCACTTGCTCTTGTGTGGGCTGCATAACATAAACGTTTAGCTGGTACACTACAGAATAATATCACATTAAAACTACAAAAACTGAGAACTTATCAGTCTAACCCCTAAAATAAGTTACTTCTCAATAATAAGCACAAAGCCAATATTCTGTACCTCAAAGCTTGAATCTCAACCTCCGGGATACAATTTTGTTTGTTAAAAGTACTGTACATCATAACCAACTGTTAATATTTCATAAAATACTTTTTCTTTTTTTATAAATACATTTTTTTTTTTTTTTTTTTCTCAGTGCTGCTGATTTTCATGGCAGAAAGTGAAAGGAAATCCCCCGAACGATACACAGACAGCAAACAAAAACCTGACAAGAGTCAACTGTTTTCTACTCTATCCAAAATGTAAGTTGGCTTTTCATACAATTTTTTTTTTTTTTTTTTTACAGGTGAAAGGCTTTGATATACTTTAAGTATTAATTTAGGTTTGCCATACATTAGTAGATTTCCCTATGAACATTTTTATGAAAGTTTGTATTATATTCAATGACTTGAATGTTGTTCAAAAATACTTGCAAAAAATTGCACTTCTAAAATACCATTTTGAAATGAATGGATTTTCCTGGATGAAACCCACATACATAGTTAGAATTTCACTGTTTGCAAGCTGCCCCTTCAAATTTTCTTTGCACTGCAGTCAAAATCAAACTGCACATTGAACCCATTAACGACTATCAAATAAATCAAATGTTCTCAAAACAAAACATTTCAAACTAAATTCTATTAGTGTAAGGCCAGCGTAAGAATCAACCCCATCAACCAAAGTCAACAATAGAGGGGTCACTAATGTTCACTTTATAAATGATTGGTGTTTATGCGTCACTTTTGCTATCAAGCCAAGGAAAGCTTTCAACTACGGGAAGTGAACTTTGCAGATGCAGAATGATTGGGGATCAGTTTAAAAATTCCATTTGTCTGTGAACCTTTGTGACTTGTAAATTCTAAAACGTAATTTTTTTTTTAAGAGTATATTTTTTTATTAAAAATCAAAAAGGAGTTCAATTCACAGCATTGTATTTATCCAATTACAATAATAATATAAATGTTTCATGCCACTTCAAGTACCTACTTGAGTTTCATTAAAGTCTTTCACTCCAACACAATAAACAATAGCACCCAAGCTGCGCGCTCTTTCAGCCTAAAAAAAAAATGTGTATGTATGATTAATACTACATAATTAGGTGTACTGCCAACCATAATAATGATATAACGTAGCCTCACAGTAAAGCAGCAGAAAATGAAAGCCCTGATTTCACAGGAATTTATTTTTATCTTGTACATATCAGTCTGAAGAGAATCCGTTTCAGCAAGTATGGATGGGTGAATCTGCCCAGGTTTTAATTTTTTGGGGGATCATAGAGCCCTATCTGAAATTAGGTAAATTTGATCTTAACAGCAAATCCCACTGAAGTCTAAAGAGGGCGAATCCTGCTGATAAGGCCATTTTTGGGTCTAAAAGAAAAACGATTGACAAAAAAAGGTATGGGTAGCTGTGTACTGGCAATGGGAGACATTTAAAAATACCAACAATTGGAAACATTGGGTTCCAAAGTGTGGGGGTGTCACAGATGAGGTGGTTGGCAGACAGCTCATGTTGGCACTGCATTTCTGCCAGGTGAACAATGGCCGGGTATGACTGCTAAAGTGGCACAAACCCTTCTGGCTTGATGAAGAACCTCCTGGAGGTCAGGCTACTTTATGAAGAACCACTTCAGCAGCACATTTAGGATCATGTGCCAGGCAAGATACGTTGGATTTTTCCCAGGTGAAGGGCAGCTAGAAAATTAGAGCCATTGTCACATACAACCTTGCATGACTGAAAAAAAAATGGAGTGAGATCAACCTTAGTGTTGGCCTGGGCAGCTGCTAGCAGGTCTGGCTCAGTGTGGCTCCTATCCCTCAGGGCATACATGCTGCAACACAGCATGGCGGCATTTAGCCTAGGACAAAGCATATGCTCTTGGGTGCTTGGATGGGACTGCTGGTTCCAAGGAGTTGGTTGCTAAAGTAATAAATAATAGCTGTTCTTTCAGAAATTTGGATCATCTACTTCCAATGCTTCCAAGTCACTGTTGCCTCAGACAAGTGTTCAATAGAACTACTATCTGGTAATCAGGTCTTAAGTATTGCAATTCAAGTCATAGACCCAAGTGCCTCTCACACCAGTCTTTGCTTCAGATGAGATTTGTGCTTCTAGATGAGATTTGTGCTTCTAGATTAGTTTAAAACTGATCAGCGAATGTAACAATTTTATGAAGTGAAAATTTGATTAACAGACTACTGAAGACTTGCATGGGGCACCAGATACTCTTTTAAAGCAATTTACAAACCAAGAACTTTATGGTAAAAGTATAGTTTTACAGGCAAACCTTCCGCCTTTAGTGTTATAAATTAATTTGAAACTGCAAGGGGCAACTGAAGCCTTTAGCAGAGGTATAGAAGATATGTCCGTGCCACTGTTCTCGGGGTGTTTTTTTGTTTCTCCATTAGAACCTCGTGTTGCATTCCCACTAGTCAGTCAATGTTCATGTATTTACAATTACTGGATAATGCTAACAACTTTATGAATGACTCCAGGGGCCAAACTATCTGCAACTTTTTAATTACAATTTAGTTAATTTCACCTACAGCTGGCAACAATTAAGAACAACAGCTGGTCATATGATTGCTTGGAGCCTTTGTATTAGGAAAACATGAAGAAGCCTTCACTCACCTCTTTTTCTGCATAGTAGAATTGACTTTGCTGAAGTTCCCCATCAGTTAGGGCTATTATGACACTGGCTGCCCGTGCACCTAAAATACAAACAGCACAAAGTTAATTTAAAAGTAAAAGTGAATTATCTTTAGTAAAGGCCACCTCATACCAAAAATACCATCATTTTGAGTTGGCAATAGTGGCTTAAATCACCCAATGCCTTTTTCCCTTGTATAACCCAGTGCCAAGATTTCCTTTCCATAGTTATTGATTTGTAAACTGTGAAGCAAATGCATACAATTCAGGTGAGTACAATCAGAAAGATATAGAGATGATTAGCAGTAAAGGTTTTTTAACTTTCTGGAGTGAGTCATCTTGAGGGCTATTGCCTAACCTTTACCTAACACCTAAAGTGAGCAGTTAACACTCAACGTCCCCAAAATTTAAAGTGTTACTAATCCCAGGACCCTGTATTCACTATATCTGGTCTCCCACAGTACACAGAACATGGAAGTGCAATTATTTCAGTAAATATAAACTGATAAATACCTTTTCTCATCAGCAGTGTATAGCAGACTTGTGACTTCTATCAGTGTCCTGCCAAGCATTGGTTTAAGGTTGTAGGAGTTTTCTTTCTGCTCTAGGAGAATGCAAAGCCCCTGACCTCTGTCTGGCCAGCACTGATTGGCCCCGTGCTGATCACATGCACTCTCCCAAGGAAAAAAAAAACTCTAGCAATATATACCAAACTGAGCACTGCAGAATGTCTACACTCCATATGTTTTATCGGGAGCTAAGAGGGGGACAGTGGAAGAAGGGGAGGATCAGAGAAGACAGGATCAAACAGCCTTTTTACACAATGCAGAGGACTGACCTCTTAGGTTCCACAGTGAGTATAACAAGCATGCTTTACTGCATATACAGACTGATTTTAATGTTGTGGGTTTAGTAACACTTTCATTTTTACACCTAATCCTAACACCAAATTGTATGGTAAACCTTTATGCTATAAAAGTGTACCATCATTCAGCATAGCTTCTTAGACATATTATTCATTTCATGACTTTGAAATGCCTTAGCTGGCTCTTTTTAGTGGTGGTCTTGTGACTGCTTTACCATCTTTTTTTTTTCCAAGGTCCCACGGGTGAGGGCAAAGACTCCTGATGATTGGCTGCTTCTGCCTACAAAATCAGTGCAGCCACTCTTACAAACCTATCAATCAGGCCATGCAAGGCTGGAATGGGGCATGTCAGCCTGTGACATCACAAGTTGACTATGGGACCAAAGGTGTTCTGTGCTTTGGCACAGCGTTCTTCAGGTCCCAGAGCAAGAAGCAAGGATGCAACCCAACCACGCTAACACAGATTTGCTTCTGTGCTTAACGTGATCAAAAAAGAACAGTAATGGACTGTGGAGGGGCTAACAGGACCACCAGTTATTTAGCCAGGGTTTCCAACATACATTGGCAAATGCTTGTATTTTATCAAATGTGAGGGACAAAGACAGAGGGTTCTATTGCTAAAGTTTATGATTTCAAATTTAGATGTACTTTTAACCATCCCCTAAAGTGATCCCTTATCCCTTAACCTCTTAAACATAACCTGACCCTAACACTTAGTCCTTACTCTAAACCTAACACTTATCCTAATTCCTACAGTAAGCCCCTAAACCGTAATTCTCCCAATGCTTAACATGCCCCCTCGCAAGACATAACCTTAACCCTAAAATTAAAACTAAAGCTTTGTACACACATTCCGAGCACTGATCTACAAAAACTCAGAAACTCAGACACTGACACAAGCGATGTGACTGCAGTGATCTCTCCTGCTGTGCTATTGTATTCTGACAGTGGGGACTCCTCCCTTGTCAGAACACACTGATCAGGGCCGCAGCCATTGGCTGCAGTGGCTGATTGAAAGCTGGTTTTCCACCAGGACCATTCAACAGAAACAATTGACTTTTGTTGAGGAGGCAGGGCTACACACAGTTTGAAATTCGACCAGTTCCTGCTGAACCTGCCGAATTTCGATATGTGTGTACCAAGCTTAAACCCCAATTACCAACTAGTAGCTAAAGTAACCCCCTAAACTAAGCCCTTATGCTAAACTGTATCTGTATACTAACCTCTCCCTGTGCTGGAAGCAGTCACACCCATCCAAACATACCATTGTTAACCGCTTGCCCGCTGCCGTATAGTAGAACTACTGCTACAGGGCAGCAGCGCAAAATAATGTGTGCGTGCACGCACGCACGCACGCACGCACGCACACACACACACACACACTTTTTTTTAAATTGTTGGTATTTTTTTGTTTATAGCACAAAAAAAACTGCAGAGGTGATCAAACCCAACCGAAAGAAAGCTCTAATTGTGGGAGAAAAATGGACATAAATTTAATTTATGTACAGTGTTGCATGACTGCGCAATATTCAGTTAAAGTAAGGCAGTGCCGTATCACAAAAAATGGCCTGGTCAGGAAGGGGGGTAAATCCTCTGGAGGGCAAGTGGTTAAGCTATCCGCTCCAGTAACTACTGATTGGTAACTGTACATTAATACCGGGTATGTAAAGAAATTGTAAATCTACAACTATACTCCACAATATATTCGTCTGGGTGCATGACTCCATCACTTGGTTTTGTAATGGCCATGACAGCTGGGTGTACGCAGTAATTCTAGTTGGGTGAGCATTTTTTTATAGACAGGTAGATAGACAGATCCTTTGTAAAAAGCATTAGGATTGATTTACTAAAACTGGAGAGTGCAAAATCTGGAGACAGCTATGCATGGTAATTAATCAGCTTTTAACTTCAGCTTGTTCTAATAAGCTCTCACAAAAGAAGATGATTGTTTTTTTAAGCACAGTTGCACTAGATTTTTCACTCTCCACTTTAGTAAATCAAACCCTATGTATTTTTTAAACCGCTGTATGCATACTTTGCTGTAAATATATTTTATATGAAATTACTATAATTAATAAAAAGTGGATTGGTAAACTCAAACCTTGATTGTCTGAGTACTGGGCCAATTATTGGGGCATTTATCCCTTCCTGGGCCCCTTACTGGTTTCCACATGCAGCATTTATGGGAAGCCTAAATCTGTTTTTATTAGGGCAACATCTAATAAGGAATTATATTACTTTCTCTTTTAGATCACGTCACGAGAGAAATCTAGCTACATAGACATATGCATTATATGAACTTAAAGCGGAGTTCCCCCCAAAAGGGGGAGGTTCCACTTTAAGGACTCGGCCCCCACTCCCCGCTAAGGATTGACACCTTTGGGGAGCAGGTACCCAATTTTGACAGGTACCTACTCCCACTTCCACTCTGACCTTCTAGGTCAGGGGTCCTCAAACTTTTTAAACGGGGCCAGTTCACTGTCCCTCAGACCGTTGGGGGGCCGGACTATAGTTTAAAAAAAAAAAAAACTATGAACAAATGGGGACACAGTACAGGAGATGACCAGAGACTGCAGACATACAATGGCGGCGGGAATACTGGGCCGGCCGCTCCATAAGACGCACAGACATTTCCCCCCAAGTGTGTCTTATGGAGCGAAATAGTGCCCCATCATTGGTGTCAGTGGGAGGAATAGTGCCCCATCATTGGTGTCAGTGGGAAGAATCGTACCCCATCATTAGTGTCAGTGGGAAGAAACATGCCCCATCATTGGTGTCAGTGGGAGGAATAGTGCCCCATCATTGGTATCAGTGGGAGGAATAGTGCCCCAATATTGGTGTCAGTGGGAGGAATAGTGCCCCATCATTGGTGTCAGTGGGAAGAATCGTGCCCCATCATTGGTGTCAGTGGGAAGAATCGTACCCCATCATTGGTGTCAGTGGGAAGAATCGTACCCCATCATTGGTGTCAGTGGGAAGAATCGTACCCCATCATTGGTGTCAGTGGGAAGAAATGTGCCCCATCATTGGTGTCAGTGGGAGGGTTGGTGCCCCATCATTCGTGTCAGTGGGAAGAAACGTGCCCCATTGTTGGTGTCATTGGGAGGAATAGTGCCCCATCATTGGTATCAGTGGGAGGAATAGTGCCCCATTATTGGTGTCAGTGGGAGGAATAGTGCCCCATCATTGGTGTCAGTTGGAAGAATCGTGCCCCATCATTGGTGTCAGTGGGAAGAATCGTACCCCATCATTGGTGTCAGTGGGAAGAAATATGCCCCATCATTGGTGTCAGTGGGAGGGTTGGTGCCCCATCATTAGTGTCAGTGGGGGGAGGTTTAGTGCCCCATTGTTGATGTCATTGGGGGGAGGAATAGTGCCCCATCGTTGGTGTCAGTGTGGGGGGGGAGAATAGTGCCCCGTCATTGGTGTCAGTGGGGGAAGGGGATAGTGTCCCAACATTGGTGTCAGTGGGAGGAATAGTGTCCCATCATTGGTGTCAGTGGGAGGAATAGTACGTTATTGGTGTCAGTGGGGGGGAATAGTGCCCCATCATTGGTGTCAGTGGGGGGGATAGTGTCCCAACATTGGTGTAAGTGGGAGGAATAGTACCCCATCACTGGTGTCAGTGGGGGAAGGAATAGTGTTCCATCGTTGGTGTCAGTGGGGGGGGGGGGGGAATATTGCCCCATCATTGGTGTCAGTGGGGGAAGGAATAGTGTTCCATCGTTGGTGTCAGTGGGGGGGTGGAATAGTGCCCCATTGTTGGTGTCAGTGGGAGGGAGGAACAGTACCCCATCGTTGGTGTCAGTGGGGGGGAGGTATAGCGCCCCATAGTTTGTGTCAGTGGGGGGGAGGAATAGTGCCCCATCATTGGTGTCAGTGGGAGGAATAATGCCCCATCATTAGTATCAGTGACACTAATGATGGGGCACTATTCCTCCCACTGACACCAATGACACTTAACTTGCTGACCCCTGCTCCAGCATGGTTGCAGCAGCACCATCAGCACGGCACACTTACCTTTCAGCTGTCCTTCTTCACTCCGGCCTCTCCCTCACTCGATGATCTCGGGGCTGCTCCGCCTCCTCGCAGGTTATTGGCTGCCTGTGTGCCTTTCCTGAGCTACAGTTCTGGCGCCCAATCACCGGTGAGGAGGCGGAGCTGAGCGGCAGGAGTGAGGGAGTGGCTGGAGTGAATGAAGCAGCAGCGCTTCCTGGACTGGATCGTCGTGGGACTGGGACCGGAGCCGGAGCCAGGTAAGGTACAGCAGCCCCCTGCCCCACCCCTTTACTTCGTGTCCCTTCCTCGCAGAAAATACGCCCCTACCGGCGGGCCGGATAAATGGCCTCGGCGGGCCGCAGTTTGAGGACCCCTGGTCTAGGTGATTGGAAGTAGAATTTCTCCTCCCGCCCCCACACCCCCCAAATCTTCTCGGAAATGTGAGGATGCCCACACTTAAGATGATTTATTGCTGCTCTTTTTATTTAATCTTTAATTATGTTTTAATATTCTTTTATTTAGCATAAAAACATAGGCCTTTTGAATTGCATGGGTTTTTTTTTTGCATAAATGTTTTCATATTTCATACATTTTTTGTTCAACTATATTTTTTTATTTTCAATAGGCAAAATATCAGTTACGTTTTTATCTGCTATTGCGTTGCTATAGAATACCAACTAGCTTTTAGTAATTTCCCCAATACAGGGGGCCATTAAACCCATGAAATGTGTTGGCACTTTTCTGGAAAATGTAATTATTAAAATCCTTCTGTGAAATTAAAAATTTCATGGCACTTATTTCTCTTTTCACTTGTAGCCCAGGCACTTACGATAAATATTCATTTTAGCTGGTGTACAGTAGATGATGAGAATTGAAAGGTCAATCCAGCAAAACATATATTTTGTTCACGGTAGATACTGTTAAACCACAAAGGGTTAATTGTATTTCTTGGCGACTTCAGTGACAAGAGATCTGTGCTGGAGTTGCCAAGTCGGCACACATTGAAAGGCAATCTACTGCTTTCTCTGTAGCATAAAAAAGCAGTTATATTGGAGAACACCAAAATAGCTGGGAACATCCAATACCCCAAGGTAGGCTGAAACATAGCTATGAAATGACTTGCTGCTAGAATCTCCAAGAGATACTAGAAACTAGTAGGTTACTTAGCCCACCAGTTTTCTACCTTCTAACACAAATAACGTTTTATGGAGGACTAAGCCTTTAATACAAACATGGTTTACAGTTTCTCTTAGTAACAAAACAAATGCAACTGAAGCAGTATAAACTTACCACCACTGTTCTCGTGATAGATCTGTTCATTTGCCTGTAACAAACAGAGGTAATAAATGCCTCAGCAGTAATAGGATTCAACCATGTGACATTCATTTTATTATAATATATATTGTGGAAATGTCATTAGAAACCAGGACTGGGGAATACTTCGGGAAATGGTTGCTAAATTTGGTGGAGTAAACAGAGAGGGAGTAAAAGTAGTGTTGTTCATTTACAGGGGATGGTTTTTAATGTCTCTTTAGGTATGCAGGAAGAGTAAAACAAGCTGCCACACTCCAATGTCATCACAAGGATTCCGGTTTATGAAATTAATAAGTGCATGGAGGACATCAGTTATGGGCGATGTTTACCTAAACCAAATGTATTCATCCTTAAGAGTAGGAAATTAATGGGGGTATGATCACTTTTAAAAGTCTGTCTGTCTGGAAAGTATTTAGCCATATAATATGAAAAACAGAGACTGAGATTTACTGAAGAAGACACAAGAAACATTGTATGTAGGACAATGACTCCTCAGTCCCCTTCAAAGTAGACACCTTGGGACCTTGCACAAAATCTCAGACACAGTACTTTTTGTAATCCAGATTAGCTGCTAGTTCTCGCACTGTCAGTCGCTGATCTTTGTTGATTACAGCCCATACATGTTCAATGTTCTCAGGTGTTCTGTTTGTTGCAGGCCTTCCAGAATGTGAACCACTTTCAGCAGATTTTGACAGATTCTCGACCATCCTTGACGCATTTGTGCCACACTTTTATTTGCTCCACACTCATTGCATTGTTTCTGAAAGCCTTCTGAATCATTTGTATAGTTTCCGCGGAGGTATGTTCAAGCCTACTGCATAATTTGATGCAGATTCATTGTTCTACTCACTATGGCCACACAGTATACATACTCACTCAACAGGGTCTAGCGCCCCCCACTGACTAGTACATTGAAATCATCATTGTTCACATATGCGCATTCCAGTCAACTCTCTTGACTGCCAGGGTACATAGATGTCACGCAAACCGTTCTCTGTTCTTCCATTATATTAACAATGGCTGGACTTTTTTCCAGACAGAGCTTGTATACATGTTCCATATGGTAAATTTAGTGTAAAGCTGTTTACTTTAAAATAATGTTATCATGTATAAAGTGCACCTAAAGGTTCTGAGAGGACAAAGCTTCTGTACGTTCTGCCTGCCCATCTCCCATACTGCCTTATGTCCATTCCTCTTGGCCAGTGAGAATGTGTTATTTAGTGGACAGAGTACTTACAAGTAGGTACCTAATGAGCACATCCCAAGATTCTGCTGTAGTGTAGGGGATTGCAGGCTGTTGTAGGTGTTTGCAGACACCTCTAGATGCCAGTACTTTATACCTGGTAGCAGTTTTTTTTTTTTTTTTTTTTTTTTTTATTGCTCATAAGAAAAAAAACTGTAGAATGTTGATCCAAAGAGTTATCTGATGGTCTTTGGGGATCAGAAATACTTTTTTTTTCCCTTTTAGAGAAACTTTACTTTGCTTTATAAGGCTTTGTTTTCTGGTTGCCTTGGTCTTGATCTAAAGAATCTCAAGATTAGTGCATGACTAGTCAGCTTTCAAGTAAAAGCATATTTGTTTAAATTTTTTTCCACTGATAAATATCTTATTATAGATTAACTAATCCTAAAATTTATGCTGATATATTAAAAGCTATTAACACTGGAAAACGTGTGTGAATGTTTCGCTAGTTTATGAGAATAGAAGATGAAGATAGACGTTAAATGTAGTTCTTTCCTGTACACAGTGGACATCCTGTCGTTAATCAAAATTTAAACAAACCATAGCTAGTACCCAAACCTCCTTGGCAGTAAATAGCTGATACTAGTGGCATACTTTCATCTGCAGATAGGAATGTTTTTTCCTGCAGGAGCAAATTGGATCATGCTTTGCTGGGGTTTTTTTTTTGCCTTCCTCTGGATCAACTGTGGGTATAGGATTATAACTTTTTTTTTTTTTTTTTTAATGGTTGAACTGGATGGACTTTTGTCTTTTTTCAGCCAGACTAACTATGTAACTATATGCTTGTAGGATGTCGAACATCTCCAGCTAAATTAAAGGACCACTATTAAAAATTCTTTATCAACATTTAAAATTTTGGATCTCTTGGGAGTTTTTCTTTGTCTAAATCATAACACACGTTTTTATCAATCACAATATTGCCACCTAATTCAACCCCTATAACCCCTCACCACTGCGCTGCAACTGCATGCATTGCATGCTGTTGCAAGGTGGTTGTGGCATGACTCCTGCTTGATTGCTGCCAACCCTAGTGAACCCAACTCTATGGAGTGCTCGCCCCACAATTGGCTGCCTGTAGAGTTGTATTTTGAGAGCAGAGTTTTGCTAGCTTATGCCTCACAATCTCTGAATCAGGGTATTGGACATAATTGTAGTGTACACAAATACACTTAACTCACCCCCATCTAAAAAGCTGTAAAGCCTTCTTTAACCTCCCTGGCGGTATGATTATTTCCGATTTTTGGTGCTGAAAGTGGTACAATTTTTTTGCATGGAAATGTGTAGTTTTTTATTGTAGGCTGTAATTTTTAGGAATAACTCACTGAAATCTGTCCGAACAAGAGTCTAGTAAACATTCCGGATTTGTTAAAACTTGAAACACGAAATCATAAATTATAATTTAATTAATAATCATAAAAAAAATAATAATATAATAATAATAAATTTAATTCAATAATATAATCAAACCAAAACACTGAAATTTGAAATACAGAGGCAAATTCGCACATCGCTGAGCAAAGTGCAAAATCGTTTTCAGTGTCTGATGACGAATTTCCCCACAAATCATTATCACTCAATTCTGAAGTGGTTCTCATTTACTATCGCTGTTCTCTAGTTGGTCTAAAACCGCTTTTGACATAAAGGGATGCTTTTTGGACGCCATGGACTTTTCTAAGTTTCCAGGCAGAAAGAAGAGTCAAAATGTAGGCAGGGCACAGGACAAAGCAGTAGGGACAAAATATATGTGAAATGCATTGAAACAGCAATGTTTTACTATATAATAAGAATTTTTTTAAAAAAATTAATTACATTTAATATCAGTATCAGTTATCAGTATAAAAGACACCTGTCCACAACCTCAAACAGTCACACTCCAAACTCCACTATGGTGAAGACCAAAGACCTGTCGAAGGACACCAGAAACAAAATTGTAGACCTGCACTAGGCTGGGAAGACTGAATCAGTTTCTGGTGTCCTTCGACAGGTCTTTGGTCTTCACCATAGTGGAGTTTGGAGTGTGACTGTTTGAGGTTGTGGACAGGTGTCTTTTATACTGATAAGTTCAAACAAGTGCCATAGATACAGGTAATGAGTGCAGGACAGAGGAGCCTCTTAAAGAAGAAGGTACAGGTCTGTGAGAACCAGAAATCTTGCTTGTTTGTAGATGACCAAATACTTATTTTCCACCATAATTTGCAAATATGTTCTTTCCAAATCAACCAATGTGATTGTCTGGATTTTTTTTCTCATTTTGTCTCTCACAGTTGAGGTCTACCTATGATGCCAATTACAGGCCTCTCTCATCTTTTTAAGTGGGAGAACTTGCACAATTGGTGGCTGACTAAATACTTTTTTGCCCCACTGTATATTAAGTATATCTGTTCATTTTACTTTTAGAGCATTAGAATACAGTAGCTGATCTGTCCACAAACAACCAGCAGAGTATGGCATAAAAAGACTCTTCAGGTTTTGTTCAAATGAGATCTACACAATACCACTGAACTCTGCACTCTGTGCGTAGCACACCACTGAACTCTGCACTCTGTGCGTAGCACACCACTGAACTCTGCACTCTTTGCGTAGCACACCACTGAACTCTGCACTCTGTGCGTATCACACCCCTGAACTCTGCACTCTGTGCGTAGCACACCCCTGAACTCTGCACTCTGTGCGTAGCACACCCCTGAACTTATCTTAGTTACAATGTGAGTGCTGATTATTATTATTCTTACCCTTTTAAACCCTTCATGCATAAATGTATCACCTCCAGGCACCTCGGATCGAAGAATCTGCAAGCCTTGGCGGATCAGTTCTCTGCAAAGACAGTTAAATATTATTTATTAAGATATTTGTTAACGTTTCTATTTGTAATTTTCACATCAATATAATATATCAATAGTAGCAATTGCTTGATTTGAAGCAGTTGCTATTTTCTCTGACATCTTGGGTCAATAGGATGGGAAAGGGTGGCTTTTTTGTCCAGTGTCTATGGGTAGCTTTATGCAGAGTCAAAGGATAAGAATGTAAAACCATAACAGTTGGCCCTGACATAGTTTTTATTTGCAGAAATAAAAGAATCAAGAGTTTGAAAGTTAAGACACTAATAGAGAGTCCCTTTTTATCAGGGCTAAAAATACAACAAACAACAAAACTTTTATAGTAGTTCTTTTAGTCGAACACACGCATAACTAAGAAACCTACTATTAAATAAACTTTATATTGTATTCTGCCCTGATGAAGGGGCATCTTGTATACCCCCACAAATGCATTGGTTGTGAATTCTTGACTGATTCTTCTATTGTGACAAATCAAAACTCTTTTTGGACCTATTCATTAGCTTGGTATTCTCATCTTTCAATCCACATAAGCCAACTATTCCATGGACCCTGTCCAAGTTCCACTTGACATTACAACATAAAGAAGAGTCAGCCGCACACCGGAGGATTGATGAATATAGTGTGTATTTATTGATCCATAGGACACACAAAACACCAGGACATGAATACAGGACCTGTTAACAGGTCCTAGCACACCACCATTCAAATTATGTAGCTTTTGGCAAACATGGCTATACGTTTAATGCAGGAAGGTTGAGTTAGAGAAGTATCTTGCTGGCATTGATCCTTATAGATAAATTGAAGTAAACTACCAAACACAAAAATGTGAGCTGTCGTTGCTGACCTTCTTCTGAAAATTCTAGTTGCCAGGCTGATCCTTTGAATCCATTACTTTCTGAGTTACCAACCTAGAAGACAGTGAAATAATTCCTTCTCTACTTGTTTTAGGTTGGTGACTCAGAATGAATCAAAGCCAGGGATCGAATGACAAATGGACAGCAAGCATTTTCTGGTCAGCAGTGGCAACACTCAGCATTGACAGATTTCCTTGACCCAGTGGTACCACAAAAAGGTGCCACAAGGCTCTCTATAGCTGCTAGGACATACAATCCATTTCCTTTATGACTTACTATTGATTGACAATACGGTCAAAAGGAAACTCTGCCTATAAAACAAGTAACATGCTTCCTCTATTAGTTCATCTTGGTTAGAATTTCCCAGTTGATAAGGTGAGAACAGAAAAAATCTAATTGATAAAAACTGGCATAAGATGCATATATTTTCTTGAATGTTGTTACCTTTTCTCTGTTAATTTCATAATAGTTGTTGCTCGAGAGGAGAAAACAATGAATGACATCCTCAGCATGGGACTATTTGGAAGCACAAATTAAAAAGAAAAAAGAAAGTTACTACAAAAAATATAGCTTTTTCTTTCATACATGACATCACAACAATTGACATAAGACAGTTACCACAACAATATTTATCAAAGGCTTTGTATCACATCCGGGCTTATTTTTCAAGGACAAGAGGAATATGAAATCTTACTGCACAATCCATACTAGGGATGCACCAGTATCAGTATCGGTATCAGTGCTGATACCGAGTATTTCACGCGTACTTGTACTCATGAAAATGTTCCCTATAGCTAAAACTGATACTTTGTGGTGCAATTTGAGTCCATACAAAATGTATGGGCTCAAATTACACCGCAAAGAATAGCATGCAATTTGAACAGGAATGCGATCCTGTCCAAATCGCATGTGGTTTTCCCACTGCTCCTATGTGAACCCAGGTTTGTCATAGCCTGAAAGAATTCTACAGCGTTTTCAAATCCCCAGCTTTTCTTTCTGTGACAGCATGGGATCGATGCAGGGAGGTTTCCTGCACTGCTTCTGTGTGAACTCAGGCTGTGAGAAGCCTGGGTTAACACTGCAGCAGTGGGGAAACGTCATGCGATTTGCACAGGAATCGCATACGTATTCAAATTGCATGTTTTTCTTTGCAGTGCAATTTGCGCCCATACATTTTGTATTGGCTGAAATCGCACCACAAAGTATTGGTACTCGTTATTGGCGAGTACTTGACCAAAAGTATCAGTACTCCTACTTGCCAACAAAAAAAAAAGGGTACCTGTGCATCCAGTGATGTATTTTGGTTTTGTGCTGCCCTGGTCAACAAAACAATTGGAGCACCCCCCCCCCCACCTCACCCCACCCCAGGGGAGGAAGCCTGGCAGGGATCATCAACACCATCACTGCCACCCCCTCCCCCTGTGGAGAGAAGCTGACATTGATTGACAAACACCCCTGCCCCCCCTCCCCACCTGAGAGAGCCTTCTACTAACATACAACCCCCACCCCTTCCCGGAGAGAGAGACAGACACCTTCACAGCTCAGGATATCCCTGCAGCCTCTCTCAGATCCCACCTGGTCCCTGTAGTGCATGTGTCCATTCTTCCGGGGGGTAGTGCTGCCCCCCTGAAAAATGCTGCCCTAGGCAAATGCCTTGTTTGCCTTGGGGTAAATATGCCCCTGTGTGTATCCCTAATCAGTACTGCATGTGATACATTTTTATTCTAATCATAGCATGATTAGTAAAGCCGTTTCCCTTGGCAGGCGTGCAATTCACATTTAAAGCAGATAACAGATTTTCACAGAGTGGGTTGTGCTTGGAACCAATTTATATAAGGTAGCCATAAAAAAAGTTATTTTTGCAAAGATGAAAAAGAAATTACCCATTTATAAAAACTAATGCCAATGTTGTGAAATACTGCTACAGACATTAAAGATAAGATACATGTATTGTTTAATACATACCTTGTAAATTTTTCCGTAAGACTTTCCACAAAGGAGAAAATTTCATGCCAGTGGTTTTTGACGCTGCCAGACCTGAAAAAAAAAAAAAAATATGCATGATTAATATATTATGTCATTTATAGCACTTGCTGATATAGGCATATAACTTTATTTTTGCCCGCCCTGTCTGTTTTAAAGAGACTCCATTAGAAAAAAAAAAATTTTCAAGCAATGATAATTCATCTTTGTTTCCCTGTGAAAATGCTTCGTTCATTCTGTGCAGTCCCTCCTAAAATTAACATTTTCCTGACCATGGGATTGATTTACTAAAGGAGTTTAATGACGCTGTGTTCACTTGAATTATCCAAGTATTAAAGGAAGTTTCTGTATAACTGGCTTTCAAGCTGCAGTGTGAGGGGCAGCTTCAGTTCCTAAGCATTTTTGTACTGCCTTCCCGATTATTTATTGTTTTTTTTTTTTTATTAGATCCTTATATTTCATTTTGCATGCTGAGCTAGTTTAAAGAGGAAAAGGCTGTCCACAACCCAATCATTATTGTATATCACCAAACATTAAAAATAAGGACTTTTAAGGACACTCAAACCTTCTTACTCTGAAACCATAGTAATACATAATACAACATTACAGTTGATTATTTTCTTAAAAGTATTAAAAACATTACTGACTCTACAAAGACATGTAATACATTTTCAATAAAAGTTTATAGATCATATGGCCACTGATTTGTCATCATCTACGTATCGCTAATACATTTACTACATTTTACTACATTTTTTACTACAATGTGAGTGATATGCAGATGGTGACATCTTAATGGAGGGCAATAATGTAACTCTATGGCTTCCATACACATACAGACATTTCTGATGAGCCACGTGCTAACATTACAGTATTATTGGAGCTTCTCTCTAGGTGGCCATGTCAAATTATTATTTGCCCAGACACAAATATCCTTTGTTTGGTGCCTAAGACGTAGCTTTGTGACTCTGGGGCAGCCATACAGTAATTTCCCATGTTTCCAAAGCATCACAAAAAATAAGGTTTGTACTTACTTTAAAACCTTTTTCTTGAAGTCCATTGAGGGACACAAATTGTATATAATGTAATACTCACCACATATGTTACAATCTAATCATGCAATCTCCTTTAGATTTACCAACAATTTATGTCGTGCAGCAGCCTGTCTGATTGGAAGATTAGGTAGGTCCTCATATTACATAGCCAGATTTTAATGAGTATGGTGACCCATAGACTGGTAGATTATATGCAACTGTCTACAGGAGGTGGCCACAGGCAAACAGAAAAGACATTGAAGGCTAACCTCATTAAACCTGCCCCTAACTGCCATGCTTCAACTTTGTCAGCAAACAGTAAATAAAGCCAATGAAAACAGAGGGGTGGGAGTAGGATCTGTGTCCCTCAAAGGATTTCAAGAATAATATCTAACGTTAAGCATAAAAATCATTGCCAATCTTAGACTGATGGGAATTCCCAAACTAGTCCAACTGAGGATTCGGTAATAAGCACTGAGAAATCTAACGTGTGAAAATCTTACTCGAAGCATGGCTGAAGAAATCAATGCTCAAAAAGAGCTATATGAAAAAAGGGGAAGCAAATATGAAAAATACTACTTTAAAGGAAAGGCACCAAGAGAAAAACTTGTTTCAGAGCAGGACAGGTAACACCATTAAGGGGAGATTGCCATTGTGAAAGAAAGGTGGAAAGCCACAATGATACGGAGGACAACCAAACAACCACTATAAGGAAAATAGTTGATAGGACAACAAAAGTGGTCAACAAAAACAAAAATGTTTGGTAGGATATCTAACCCTTGACACCATGAAAAGGAATGTTAGACAATCAATGTATGTTTTGACCACTTCCTCTCCCTCTATCTTAATCTTCTGTTTTTTTACGGATTGGTGGGGATTAGTAGAGCCGAAGGAGCTGTGACAGGCACTCATGAAGAATGCCCGAATATGCTTGCCCTTTTTGCCCAGTTCCTCCATCTGTACCTTTTATTCATAGAAGCCATATCATAGCTTCTATGAATGAAACACAATCTTTGAATGGAGAGAGAGGAACTTTTTAATCATCCACTGGTCCTCAATTCATAGATCATATTTCATTCATCGTGTGGACATGAGATTGACAATGCTGCTATTGTGAAACATGCCAGAATAGAACTTGTTCCTGCTGGCTACTTTAATATGATATTAATCTGATGGCTATTGTGCATTTTGGTGTGCAGCATTACTGTTGCTGATACAATTGGTTGATGCAGTGTAGTAAAATAGAGGTTCAGAATAAAGGAAAACTAAAATGCTATTCCTTAACATATTCCCTTACAAAGAAAACCTGAACTTTACTCATGCAAGATAAAGCAAATGTAGGCTGTAGGGGCCTGGATGGTAGGCATCCCTGAGACCACAAACAGTGGTCAAAATGATCAAAAACTCTCTAACATACAATAACAAAGTCTATGTAGCGGCTTAGAACTGGCAGCAACACTCACAAAATGTTATGCAGTACTTGCAGAGAGCAATGCACAGAGACCGGCAGCACCTGGAGAGGAGGGGGAAGCTGGAAGGCAGATGCAGCAGAACTAGTATTGGAAAGATTCCTATTTAGAAGCTCTGATGACTGTAGCTCCCTATACTGTCCCTCCTCCTCTAGAACCTCTCCCTACGATAGGCACACTTTCCCTGTCAAGTGGTTCCTGTCCCTAACCTAGCCATACGCAGAATGTGTGCCCTCACTAAAGATGGTCGCAGGGGTCACCTGGGTGACAGTGTTCAATTGGACAGCAGCCCACCTGATGACATGTACAAAAGGTCCAAGAGGAAACCTCATTCCTCCTGTCCTCCACTCTCCCTGCAGGGAGACATCACTGCCCAAACGAGGAAGCTCTATATTTCCTTACTAAGATAGCACCCAATAGGGAAATTGGTTTTTTCCTTGTTAGGCAATTTATGCCACAATGGTGATTCTCTCCATATACTCCCTGGAAAGGAATATTACTCTCTCAAAAAATTAATACCTTACTGTATTGTGGAATTCCAAGCTAAAGCCTAAATAATCTTAATCCCAACCCCTCCTAACACCTATCCTGACTATGCTGTGTACAAAATACAGGGCTGGGACAAGGGGTGGGAGAGAGGGCCAGCTGCCCTGGGCGTAATGGTTTACCTTAGTTGTGGAGGGACCTTTCATCTGTTACAAGGCTGACAGGAGTACTGACAGCATCAGTGATTTTGACGAGTGACTGCTGGGCGTAGGATCCCTAAGCATGCACATCACGATTGGGGGGCTGCAGCTTGACACCTTTGCCCTGTGAGCTTGATGACCTTGTCTCGGCACTGACGAAAGATGCATATGCTTACCTATTTTCAGACTGCTCTGGTCTGGTCATGTTATCTGGCTTCCCTGAGTCAGCTAGCGGCAGCTGTAGGAGAGAGGAGGGAGCACTGACAACAGAAGGGCCATAGTAGCCTATGGGAGATATCCCGCTCCCAGGAATTACAGCCATTGTCGGAGCATTCTCTTCACTCCCCTGCAGTTGGTGCTGGCTGACACAGGGAAATTATGTAACTGGACCAGAGTGGCTTTCTTTTAAAGGTTAGTCAGCATATATGTGTTAGGATGGGGCAGGTAGAATTTTCAAGATTAGTTGGGTTTATTTTTTAATTTTACTTTTAAAAAAGAAAAAGTTAAAAGTAGATCTCCAACTCTTTGGAGCAGCTTATGTATAGAGCAGAGGCAGCCAACAACGGATGCCGAATGCTAAGTCTATGGGTTACGCCATCTCCTATTCATTTCCCAGCCGTTGTTGGCTTTCTCTCTCTACACAGAGAAAGACCAGTGAAGACCGGACCAGAAAAACTTCAGAATAGGTAAGTACAGTGATATTTTCTTTACAGGGTTAGATAGATTAGGCTTAGAATGGGGTTGGGAGTAGGTTTTGTGTCAGATATCTGGTATAAAACGTCCCAAAAAAAAAAAAAAAAAAAAAGAGTTCAAGACCAATGAGCCTAGAATCCAAAAAAGGTTAATATTGTTTGTTCAGCAAGGCAATGAAAACCAGTGTTTCAGGAGTTCAAATGGATCCCCCATTCTTCAGGGCTCAGATATTGCATCAACTTGGGGGGGACTCCATTTCATGCAAAAAACATTCTGTACAAGAACAAGGAATTTCAGGCTTACAGAAACTCCCTCATGATCAGGGCTCTGAAATTACCTGGTTTAGATAGTGTGGACAATCTAAAAGGCAAAATGTTTGTGGATAATTGTGTACTTTTTGCAATCAGTGGTTTGGGCTCCCCCAACTAAAGAAAAAAGGTTTGGTTGGATTTTTGCTTCAAAGCGTATCTCAAGCATTAACGTAAAAGAGAAAAAAAAATTTGGAATTCATGTACATTTCTCCAATGTTCTCTCTCTTTGAACACACTGCAAGTACAAAAAAAATAACTGCTGATGTGCCAGATATCCCGTGTGCTCCCACCTTCCTCTTTGACATCACAGCACAGTACATTTTTGGTTCTAAATTTCAAAGCACATGTTGTCAGCCCTACCTACATCATTTCTGCTGGATTCCAAAGAACATAGGCCTCTCCCCATTTTCCCTGGCAATATCTCTAGTAAAGTCAACAGGTATCCTTTGCACTTATTATACACATATAACAATAACTTTCAATGGTATATTTTGCTGACCAAAAAGGAGAAAATATGAGTTAATTGTTAGGGTTACATCAATTTAGGGATTAAAATTCCCTTTTCCATTTATCTGGTTGCCAAGATAGCACTAGTAGTTTAGGCTACAGGAGGATTGGATGGTACAGGTACACCACTAATTCTAGTGTAGTGTCCTCCTAGGTAGGTGCTAGGATTATGTAGATAAGATTAGTTATGTTTTTGATAGGTACATTTAGTGGTTAGTCTGTAGGCAGAGTGGCTGAAATTATTGCTAGATAAAAGTATAGTACTGTACTGAGTGAGCTGTGATCATCTAGTAAGGTCTGCTATATTCTCCGCTGCAGGTGGCTCTGGACCATCACGGCAATACAGCTGAGAGAAAT